TCCTCCTCCTCCTCCTTCTTCGCCACCGCCATCACCGGCGCACAGACGCACCCAGTGCCCCGGGTGCAGGAAATTGCCAACCTCTACAACCAGATCATCTACATCGACTATGTGATCACCTCCCTGGCGTTCCTCCACAACCCACAGATCTCCAAGTTGGTGCGCGCCCTCTCCTGGCTCGGGGCCTCGTGCTCGGGTGTCCATGTGCTCGTTGCTGACCCTTGCCCGGGGTCCGATCCCGCGCCTGCCTTCCGTCTCATGTGGGCCGTAGCTCATGTCCAACCTCCTGGACACGGTCAACCGCCTGAAGAGCAATCCCTGCGAGGCCTTTCTGCTGTTGGACTTCCCGGAGTGCATCGACTGGCTGACCGTGCACTTTGGCGGGGAGATGCTCGAGCAGCTGTACTGCTTGCTCTGGTCCCGGGCCATGGTCATGATCATCTATCTGGAGCTGATGTCCAAGCGCTTCGACCAGTTTGTCACGTCGCCCGCGTCGCTGCACATGGCCGGCGATCGGGCGCCTTCCGCGGGGGCGGCCGGGTCGCCGGGTGCGCTGGCGCCCGGCAGCGAGGCGGCCAATGGCCATGGGGCTGCCGCCGGGGCAGCCGGCCCGAAGGCCTCCCCGGCTCCAAAAGCCAGCCCGCCTGTGCCGGATTTCATCGAGGACGAGACCATCGCCTTCCCGTCGGACTCTCCTGTCGAGGGGTTTGCCCCCGCCTTTGCCGGCGGGCCCGAAGCCACCCCGGGGGACTTCGCGACTGGGAGGGTGGCGGCCGGCCCGTCCGGCGCCCAGGGGCCAGCCTCGCCGGACATGGACCCCGGCGAGGCGCCCCCTCATGCGGATCCCTACAGCCGGCTGTTGGAGTTGGCCCAGCGGATCGCGCAGTTCCTCGGTCGCGGCCTGCCGCACCCATCCTTCCGGCCCCTGCGGCAAACGCTCCTGTGCGTGTGCCCCGGCGCCCGGTCCCCCCATGGCAGGCCCCCCTCTTTCGGGGCTTCCTCTTGTCTTTCGCCCTGCCGTCCCTCCCTCCCCTCCTCCTGCGCCATATTGACCCCCGGCCCTTTCGGCCCCCCCCCCCCCTCTCTCTCTCTCTCTCTCTCTCTCTCTCTCTCTCGCCCCCCCCACCCCCCCGCGCAGGCACGAATGCTCGGCGCTCCTGTCCCTGGCACAGGCCATACGATCGATCGACCTGTTCAACTTTCCCCAGACGGCGGTCAACCTGTCACGCGCGCGGCACAGTCTGCTGGCCTGGTCGGAGCAAGTGGCGCGCATGCAGGCCGAGGTGCAGGCCGCGGCCGCGGCACTGGCCCTTGGCGGTGCCGGACTGGTGCCGGCCTCGGTGCTGGGATCGGCCTCCGGGCCGGGCATCACGGCCGTCATCGGCGCGCAGGCGCCTCCGTCCTGGGGCCCGAGTGCGCCCGGGCCGGGGCCTGGCCACGGGGCAGGGCCGGGCTGGCCGGAGGGCAGCCCGCCGGCCACCGGCGGCGAGCCTGCCCTTTCGCAATCCCCCTCCGGGAATGGGGCGTCCCCGCTCGGGGGGCTGACGCTGCGCGGATCCAAGAGTTTCTTCGGGCTTCGGACATCCCTGTCCATGCACCCCCCCTCGTCGAGTAGCACGCCCAACCTCGGGTCCGGCGGGCTTGGGTCGCCGGGTTCGCCGCCCTACCCCCCTCACCAGCATGCCAGTGCCGGGGCTGGGCCCGGGGGTGGGCCGGCAGCCGGGGCTGGGTCTGCCACCCCGGGTCCCGGCTCCCACCCGTCAGCCGGCCTGCCAGGCGCCGGGGTGTTGCCTGGCGGCGGGGCCGCTACCCCGGGGCTCGGCTCGACGCCAGCTGAGCTGGTAGCCACCCCGATCGATCCACCCGCCCCGCAGGCCTTCTCCGCCTCCTCCCCCTCCTCCTCCTCCTCCTCCTCCCGGCAGCAGGCCAACTACTCGCTGTTGGCGTCGCTCATCGGCGGCCCTGGGCTGGGGGGTGGCCATGCGCCGCCGCCCCCTCCGCCATCGCCGCCGGGCGGCCCGGACTCGGGCCCCCACCCCGCTGGGGCCGGGGCGGCCCTGGCGCCCGGTCCCCGGGGCGCCGCATCGTCGCGACTGCTGATCGACCGGCTACGCGAGCGGACCCTGGTGGCTGGCCGGACGTCGGGCCCGGCAGCAGCAGCAGCAGCAGCAGCAGCAGCGGCAGCATCGGCGGCGGGACCGGCGGCGGCGGCGTTGGCGACCCCAGCGGCGGCGGTCGCCCCCGGTGGCATGGCCACAGCCGCTCCCCTGGCCGAGGTGTTGCAACACAACCAGTGGCTGACCCAGCCGCTGGCCTTCGTGTTGGCTTTCGTCACGGCGCCCATGGTGCCCGGATCGCCTGGGCCCCTGGGCGGCGAGCCGGCCGGGGGGATCGCCCCGGGGCCGGGGCCGGGGCCGGGGCCGGCGGGCGGGGCCTGGTCGGCAGCACCCCCGCCGCCTGCGCCCTGCCCGGCGCACGAGTGGATCGAGCAGATGCTGGAGCGTCTCCTGTCCAAGGGGACACTGGTGTACTCGACCACGCTGCGGTACAATGCCGACCTGCTGTCCAAGCACCCGGCCGCGGCCTTCACCCTGGCCACCGCCGGGGGGGCCTTGCCCGGGGCCGATCCCTGGAGCAGTGGCCTGGCTGGGGGCCTTGCGGCGGTCTCCGGGTCGCCGGCCGACAGGGGCCCCGGGCCGCCGGACGCCGGGGGCTTGAGCTCGCCGGAGGGCGGCGGTGGCCCGGCCGCTGTCGGGCCGGCCGATGCCGGGGGCTCTTCCTTCCTGGCCCGACTGTCCAGCGACAGTCTGGGATCGGTGTTGGCCGGGGACCCGGGGCCCGGTGTGCCGGCCCCGGCCGCGGGGGCCACCATGCGGACCGAGTTCTTCCTGGACCCGGAGGACCTGCCGCGGGTGCGTCTGCCACTCTTCGGGGTCGGGGGCCTGGTCCGCCCGGACCTGGTGGCCTGCCTGATGCAGTTCCAGCAGAAGGTCGACGCGGTGGCGGTGGCCCTGATGCACTACGACGCGGCGGCCGCCACCCAGACGCCGGGCGGCCGGCGCTTCGACATATCGGGCTACGTGCCGCCGGGGCTGGTCCGGCCCGGGCTGACCGGTCTCGACACCCTGCCGGTGCTCTTTGCCCATCCGGGCCCGGTGCCGAAGGTGCACCTGCCGAACATTGCCAGCTTGGTGCTGGAGCATGCGCACACCGGCGGCGAGACCGCCGAGCCGGACTTCTTCCACGACAAGGTGGCGGCGGCCACCTACTACATCATCCGGGCGGATGCGTGTCTGTTCCTTGTGCGTTCCTGACTGTGTGTGTGTGTGTGTGTGTGTGTGTGTGTGTGTGTGTGTGTATGGGACTAGAGGTAGCCCATCAGCTGCTCTGCCTGCCCCCGCCCCTCTCTGCTCTCTGCTCTCTCTGCTCCCTCTGCTCCCTCTGCTCTCTCTGCTCTCTCTGCTCTCTCTGCTCTCTCCTCCCCCCCTCTCGCCGCGCATGGGCCCGCCTCCACTGACACTCCCATCCGTGCCATGCCAACCCTCCCTCTCTTCCGGTCGAATTCCCTGCTCGCCATGTCCTCTCGTGCCGGGCAGGTGGCCATCCTCGCAGATAAGAAAAGTGTGGCCGCCTCGCTGACGGCCGCATTGTCGGTGGCCGCAGCGGCCGGGGCCGCTCCTGCGGCCGGGTCCGCGGCCGGGCTGGCCTCGTCCACATCCTCCACGTCGTCCGTGTTTGGCCCTGGCCCGGGGGGACCACCCGGGCCGGGCCTACTGTCACCGTCAGCCTCGGAGGCCCCGCCAATCACCCCGCAGGGCGCCGCCTCGCATGGCGGCGGGGGATCGACCGGCGGCGGAGCGGCACCCACCGCGCCACAGGCCTCGGCATCCACATCATCCCTGGCCTCGACCACATCGATGCATGAGGCCGGGGGCCGGCCCGCGGGCTCTGGGCCCGGCGGGGTCCCCGGCTCCGGAGCCACCGGCCCCGACGGCGGTCTCGCCACGGTGCCTTCCGGCGGCGGCGGCGGCGGCGGCGGCGGCGGTTCCTCCGGCCCCGGCAGCTACCGCCATGATGCGGCCATCGACTTCCTGACCGCCCTGGCCGAAGCCCTGAAGCCGCGGCAGCTGTTCAGCCAGCCGCGAAGCGTGCACCGCGGCGGAGCCAGCATGCTGCCGCCGGTGGGCCTGGCCGTGGCGGGGCCGGCCACCCTGCAGCCCCCCTCGGCCAGCGGCATGGCCGGGCCCGGTGGCGGGACCTCCCGGCCCCGGCCCGGCCCGGTGCCGGCCTTCTCGTGGCGGGGCTGAGGTAAGGGCTGTGGTCCTCGTTGATCACGCGATATACACATAACACCAGCACCGATATTCCGAAGTGATGTGGGTTAAGCACGGCGTGTTGCGGCGTGCCCGCGGCGCGGACTAAACTCGGGCTGGGATTGTGTGTGTGTGCGTGTGTGTGTGTGCGTGCGCACATACGTAAGTACATGCGTGCGTGCCGTGCCGTGCCGTGCCGTGCGTGCGTGTGCATGTGTGCCATGGGTCTGTGCCGTGCATTTGCGCCCGGCGCACCAGGCGCCATCGGATCCCCGGCCGGACATGCCACCGCATTTGCGGTGCCCGTGGCGCCCACACCTGCGCCCGCACCAAGCCATCAACCATGGCGCGCTAGCCCGGTTCTGGAAGGTCCCCTGGTGGTCCGTGCGCCGAGGGGGTACGCCCCTAGTTGCGGGGCCTCCGCCGGCGGGGGCAGGGGGGGGGGCAGGGGGGGGGCGGGCGGGGGGCGGCCGCCTGCCGGGTCTGCCCTTCGTGCTCTCTTCTGCTCGTGGCGGGTTGTGCATGTGCGTGTGCATGTGCGCGGGCGCGCGGGTGTGTCCGTGGGTCCCGGTCGGCGTGCTTGGTGTTTCTTGCTCCGGCCCTCCCGGCCTCGTGCAGCCTCTTCAGAGCCCGGCGTGTGGCCCGGCCTCGAGCATTGGCGATCAGAGTCTCCCCCTCCTCCTCTGTCTCTCTCTTCATCGCACCTTCCGTTGCCCTCCCCCCCCCCGCCTGCATCATGCTTCGTGCCGCCTCCTTCACCCTCCGTGCTGCCCACCAGAGCCGCCTGGCCTTTTCCCAGGGCTGCTCCGCCGGTGCGTGGCCCTGCTCGCCGTGTGTGTGAGTGCACCGGATTGTCGCAATCGTGTCGGCTGACCACCTCGTGTCCCCCCCTTTACCTGCTCGTGTGTTGTGTATGTGCATATACATTTGCGTGCACACACGCACACGCACACACACACACACACACACACACGTGTGCATGTGTACCTGTTGCTTGCGCACTCGTTGGCTCGTGTCCTCCCCCCCGCCGTGTCCATGGTCCACCCTCTCCCGTCCAGGTGCCCGCGCCTTCTCCACCGCCAACACTGACAAGGTTGTCACCGCCACCGTGGAGAACTTCGATGAGCACCTCAACAGCGAGGGCCTCGTCATTGTGGACTTCACCGCCGAGTGCGTCCCCTCGCCGCCGGCTCGGCTCTCCTGCCCGCCTGCCCGCCCCTCTCCCCTTCACGTTTGCTGACATAGCCCCATATGCCTCTCCTCTTTCTGCCTTTGTTCCCGGCCCCTGCCCCCCCCCCCTGTGTGCCCCTCGACGCCGCCGCTCACCACCTAGGTGGTGCCCGCCCTGCCGCATGCTTGGCCCTGTCCTGAAGTCCGTCGTCCCGGAGAACGGCGGCAAGCTGATCATCGTCGACACCGACGACAGCCCGGAGATCGCCACTCGCTACTCGGTAC